TCCCATTCCGGGGGGGGGGGGGGGGTCCCCTTTGGTCTGTTCGCCACAGGGCCCCCTCGAGTGCGGGGCCCGGTGTGGCACCGCCCTAAGGACGAATATGACTGGTATCGGACGTGACTCTCATTAGTGCAACTATCCTCTCTTTTCAGGGTACCTTGTTGGACAGATGTGGGTTGAAACACTACGGAGACTGCCATTAGGAAAAAATCCAGCCCTGAGCCCTGAGACAGACACCAGCAGACAACAGCTGTGAGAGGTCTTAAAGGGGCCATGCTTCCCAAGCATTTTTTGTGTATTCCTGAAATCAATTCAGTTATGTTAATTAAAAATCCAAGGATTCTTGCAACAAAAAAAGCAGTTATTTAGCTTTACATGACCATTTGCACTCTCTCTGACCCTTAAAACTGCACAGGCTATTTTGCTACTGTACCTTTAAGACTTACAACTACTGTTTGCAAACAAAACATTTTTCTTGAAAGAAATTAATACTTGTATTCCACAAGGACGCATTCAGTTGATTAAAAGTTACAGTCAGACAAACGATACCTATTTCAAATAAATGCTGTTCTTTTGACTGTTTACAGCATTGACAATTATAGGAAATGTTTCTTGAACACCAAATCAGCATATTAGAATGATTTCTGAAAGATCATGTGACACTTAAGACTGGAATAATGGCTGCTGAAAATTCAGTTTTGCCATCACAGGAATAGATTACATTGTTAACAACATGTTATAAATATGAATGTTATTTCAGGGCTCTGTCCAAGAATCTATTAATAGTGCTATTCAATTAGGACAGCTGGCAAGATTAGTGTAAACAACCATACTTCCTTCATTGATTGTGACAGCAGGGTAAGTCAAACTGTTCAGTCTGAAGGTTAAAGTAATTTGGATGTTCCTAAGCTTTCAAATTACTTTCATGAATGATCAATTTAAAACAAATTTAAAAGCTTTGCACCATCTGCAGACAGGTTAATTGTGTACAGAGAGGTTACCGCTGGCCCAGTCATGAAAAGTGCTCTTTTGCTGGAAAAAAAAATCATGATTGAGAGGGAATTGAGTGGTACGAATTCTATGGGAAATGCTAAAGACATCGGGTGCTATGGGGACACAGAGACTCCAAGAGCTGAAACCATTTGGCTGACGTTTGATAAGCAATTACAGGGCTGCTCATCACTCACATGTCACTCTCTGCTGATGGCTTCACAGAGGGACTAGGAAGACTGGCCTCCACAATTTCATTAAAACCTGAATTCCCCACGTTTCTCGCCAACTAAGGAGCATAAGAGAGAAAGAGCCATAAATCTGCAGATAGTGGTTAAGCTCATATGAAATTGCTGATATTGTCATACTGTAAAAAAATCTCTCTATTCACGAGTGCATTAAAGATGACAACCTGCTACAGTAAACAGTGCATGAATTAATTGAATTCCTTGAATGAATTAATGAATTCCTTGTCTGTTGAAAACTGTAAATCCTTACCAGCAATTCTGAAGTGCCTAGTTTGTCAAGTGAAAGCGACTGAATACGTGAATAATGTACACCCATTTCCCGATGGATCCCTGAGCACTCAATGCACGTCAGGATTCCCAGGTTTATAGAGATCCAAGACGGATCTGAAAGGAAAGAATGTAAGGAAAACACATTATCAGCTGCTTGACAGTCCGAAACTAAACAAAGGTCAAATGAAGGGTAAATGAAGGCTTATTAGCAATAAATACAGCCTGATTGACAAGATGACCTGTTTTACACTCCTCATGTTCTTATCATTGAAGTATAACTTGTTTACAAAGTACAAATAAAGTATGTAAAAAAAACAAAATGTTATATCTTACAACCAGGGGTGACATATTGTTTGTAAAATACTAAAATTTAAATAAAAAACTGAAAATAAAAAAATTAAATGTACTTCAACATATTAATAATTACTATAATAATATATAATAAATAATACAAAAATAACATTGGCCCAGTGTGAAAGTGCTCCGGTAATATTCAATGACACATTTTGCAATGGAGACAAAAGGTGCAGCCGAGGAAAATCTGTACTCTCCAGCCAAATCATCAGCCTTTCTTAGAGGAAACATGCCTATAAATCAAGCAGGCCGTTCGCTCATGTACACTCACTGAGTTCTTATTTAATTAAATATGATTTATGGACAGGCACTGAAAAAACAGCATGAACAGAGAACCAGCTCAGGGTGCTAGATGGGGCCCATTTCCAAAGTAGCTGTCTGCTTAAACCACTTAGTTTCCATTTCTAACCCAGTTTCTAGTTTTATTCCAACTGCGCTGTCTGTGAGAACTGTTCAAGACCCCTTGACATTAGATTTGTGTGGCTAAAAGTTGACCAAACTCGCTTTTAACATGCTACATTTCATTTTTAGTCTTCTGGGACAACAGACCAAAACTGTTAATGACTCACAATGTTATAACCATTGTACTGAACAAGACTGTAACAAAATATTCAAGACTGGGGAAACCAAAATATAAAATTTTAAGAACTGGTAACTAAAAAAATGCCAATTAATCAACCACTATTCTGAATATTTAGATTCTACCTATAGTGGAGTCAAAAAGAGTCATTTTCATTTACCATGGTATTTACACAGGACTTCTAGACACTTCAAAGAACACCTTAATACTTAAAGCACATGTCCAAAAACATTTGTGTTACTGTAAAAATGTTATTTTTGCACCTGGGGCCCCACAGTCGCAGCAAACATTGTTTCCAGGCATGCGGCGAATATCCTCAGTGATGGCTCGTGTCAGATCCTCAACACTGTTCTCCCCACTTTGCCTCCTCTCATCCAGAGCCACATTTAGAGCCTCCTGCTTACTGTTTGTTAGCACTGATATCCACCTGATATTTTTAGTAAGGTGCAAAAATAAATATAACCATTAGAGGGCGACAAGAAACTTCAGATTGAAGACATGTAGATTACATCAGTATTCCCAGGTGGCACCATGCATAAAAAAGTCATTTGTGACTAATAATGATCCTGCTCTGAGAGGTTACATCAGGATTCATTTGCAATTAATGAGAAGATGCCCTCGGTCACAGCTCAGGGAATTTCTGTGTACAGTTCAAGGCTTTGTGTACTTCTATTCAGTGAATAAACTCGTTTGGATTCATTTCTGAAAAGGTGCGGTATAATGTGACTATCAATAATCTCTTCACTCGCTCCTCTTCAGCTCTGACATTTAGCTGAAGATAGAAGCCTGGGCTGTGATCTGAAATGGGAAGCACTTCAATCAACGTACAGACAGCCACATCAGAGGAAGAAATGTTACATATTTTTCTTTCTCTCCAAGAAAGGGTGTTACTCTGTCAAGAAGGAAAGGACAAATTGGGAGAGGTGAGTGTGCACAGAAAATTATACAAGCTCTTTCCTATTTGACACCGTCCACACATTCTCATCTGACAGTCACATTGGTGGACTGAGACTCAGACAGATCAGTGTCTGGCAGAGTAAAAGCATTTGTCTTTAAAGAGCCCATAAAATCAGAATCAGAGTTATGTAGCTTTTGGTTCATGACTGTTAGCTTTGAGGTCATCTTTATGCAAGTGTATTCCTAAGCAGTGATAAAATTCACGTTTAGCAAATATACACTAGCGTTCAGAAGTTTGGGGTTGGTATAATTCTTTATTTGTTTTTAAAAGAAGTCTCTTTTGCTAACCAAGGCTACATTTATTTGATCAAAAATACAGTAAAGCAGCAATACTGTGAAATATTGTTACAATTTAAAATAACAGTTTTCTATTTTAAGATATTTTTAAAAGTAATTTATTCATGCGATGCAAAGCTGAATTTTTAGCAGACATTATTCCAGTCTTCAGTGTCATTTGATGCTTCAGAAATAATATTAAATATGCCGATCTGGTGCTCAGGAAATATTTATTTATTATTATTTATCTGATATTTCTTGCTCACACTTCCTATTTCAACAGTAAATACAGTAATACATCATTTACATCTCTGTATTAATTCAAGACACATTTTTGTGCATAGTTATAGATAAATGCAGTATGAAAAAAATGGTTTGCGTTGCATTTTATTGCTTGGATTTATGCGTAATTATGTTGAAATGACTCATTCAGGTACATAAAAGCTTGAGTAGGTTCTTTAAGGTTGAAATATCAACAAACTAAATAGGGCTTTTTGCTGTGAATAAACAAAAGAAATACTTACGCCACACAATCAGACTCATCATCAGCCAGAAAATGGTAAGTTCGATTATCTAAAAAAAAAAATTTTAAAAACCCCTCATTATTTCTTTGCAAATTCACAATTCATTCTCAGCTGGCACCAGCTAACATGTAATCAGCAAAGAATCAGGAGAGATAAAACAGGTTTGAGGTCTTTTGTTAAAATAGAAGTGGCAGGAAAGAACAAACAATTTGTGCTCAAGTGCAAATACTGAATTTAAATAGTGCCCTGTTTTCAGAACAACCTGTCTTTAGTTCAAAGACATATCTCAAAATATGTCATGATTCATACATAATGGCATAATGACACTAGAGACATGAGGCCAGAATAATGCATGGATGCATTCAGATACAATTAACAATTCTCTTCACCAAAAATAGCCTGAGGCTGGTACGCTTCAGCTTGGCGTGAAGATCCTGAAATCTACCTTTGAGAGTGTGTGGTAAACTCACGTGAGATGAGGTCAAAGCATTTCTTGTCTTCCAGACTTGGTTTGACTTGGCAGGTGAGGAGATTCAGTTTAGCTGGTGATTTATTAGGCTGCAACAAAAGGATAGCACATCATCACTAACATATCATGACTAAAGGCCCGTTTAGTGATATTAATTTACATCTCATTTGTATTTTGTATCAGCATTGGTTTCAACCTTTGAAAATGTAACTGAACATCATGGAAGCATAAAATATAAAATAATTATATAAATTAAATTACCGGTAAATATGAATATTTATATATTTATAAATAAATATAGTATCAATAAAAAGTAAAAATTATAATAAGTAAATTATAATACAAAATGTGTACTAATAAATATAAAAATATGTGAAACTGAAGACTGGAGTAATAGCTTCTGAAAATTCAGCTTTGTCATCACAGAAATAAATTACATTTTAAAATATATTCCGTTATTTAAAAATATTACTGTTTTTATTGATTTTGATCAAATAAATGTAGCCTTGGTGAGCAAAAAAGATGCCTTTCAAAAACATAAAATATCTTATAACCATAAACTTTAGAACTGTACTGTAAATATAAAGATACAAAACAAAAAAGTCACAAAAATTATGTCCAATGTGTCATTAAATATCAAAACAATTTTACAAAATTAAAAATGACAGATCCACACAGTACAATACTACAATACTAGGTGTGAAATGCCATTTTAAGATGCATTGTTTGATATCATATGCATGATTTTGCTGACAAAAAATTCCTGATTGGTCTGCAAAGGCCTTACAGATATTCCTGAGAAAATCTGCAACTCTCATTTGGTAAACTAAAAACCTGAAGAGTGCTTTAATAAGGTTATACCAAGTTTTACAGCACCATTACAGCCTACATTGTAGAACTGAATGTATATCCAGGATGTATTCACATTTTATCACAGAAACCAGCAGAAGAAAAAAAAAGCTTGCTTCTGGATTTACAGAGAGTGATGTGAGTACTCACGGTTCCATGAGCGATGGTAAGATAGCAGTTCTGCACGGTACATTTCCTCTTCTGCCACATCTTCCTCAACCTATCAGAGAAATGAGATTACAGCACAGCATCTACATCACTTTCTCCTCAATCAACACAAAGCTGTATAGTGAACGCAGAGACAGATACGTGTGTAACTCCCAGCACAGCGTGTCCTACAACACATGAATAATTTGAAACGAAGGGCTACCAAAGCACTTCCAAAAGGATTTATCAGTGAAATCTTAATGAATGAGTGGATTATACGTCATGTTTGAAGAATGCAGGATCCGGGAACAGTAATTTGATAATATCACAACCATTTGCTACAACATTAATTCATTTACCCATCACTCCTCTTGTAGAGGTAGCCTGATTTATCTGTGCCATATTGCTTGTTGCCTTGAAGCTGGTGCATGCTGTACACAGTCTGTCTGCTTAGAGAATCCTGCACAACAGAAGCATAAACGGGAAAGTCATGGTTTGTTTATATGTGGTGCCCAAGAAGCTTTGGTGATTGAGTCTGTGCATGGGATATTGCACAAAACAGCTTAAAGGGATAGTTGCTGTATCATTTTCTTTCTTTTTTGTTCTTGGGTACATTAAATTACCATAAAATTAGTCTATATGACTAGATATGATTACAGTTCACTTTTATTCTACAGAAAAGAGCAGTGTGAACATTGTGCGAAATATATTATCTTGGGTTTCGTGGAAAAAAGAAAGTTATACAGGCTTAGGCTGAAATTAGTGGGATTAAATGATGACTGAAGTTTCATTTTTGGCTGAATGTAAAAGTAAAGTCTACACTACTCAAGCTGAGGAGAAAGTCACACAAACTTCATGTTATTCATGCAGAAAGGTGCTAACATTAAGAGGAAGTACCAGCTCACACTTATGATGAAGAGTTAATACATGCAGGAAATGCACAACAGATGAATGTCACTCATGCAATGAGTATAAATTTAATTTAAAAAATAAATTAAGGAATATTTCGGGATAAATGATGTTTCAATGATAATTTCAAATCATACCTGAAATTTAAAAAAAATTTGAATTTAAGATTAAGATTTAAATATATTTGTACAATGGACATCTACAGGGCAAATGTACAAAGATAGTAGTGTAACAGTCGACAGCATGCTGTTGACATCTTAACTTAACCTGAAATATTCCAAATATCAACGGCTATCAGAAAAAAAAAACCATGATAGTCGGACATGAATTTTGCAGCAGTCTGACAGCAAAAGGTGCATTCCTAGCGACAATGTCACACATGCACATGTACATTTTTTCAACTACAGTGGGAAACATAAGGTGACAGTTCACATGCAAGTGTTTATAGGTAATTACAGCAGCTTGATAACATCACATGCTAATTAAAAAAAAAACGTCTCAACTTACTCTCCTGGACTGCTATTTTGTCAAAGAAGCATTTAGAAAAACAATTATGTTAAGAGCTGCTCTTCACAGTCATTCCAGGCATTTTTTTTTAATTTATTGTAGAAGATGATTGACAGTAACAAATATACATTGATCCGCCTCCACCATAATCCCATTTAATACTTGAATAGGACTAACAAATTACTCCATAAGACCCTATCTATTTATTACCCTGACAAATAATATATACCGGCATGCACTGCAACATAAAATGTTATTGATTTTCCTGGAGTGAATCAATAGTGGTGGGTGAACTCTGAGACAGGAAAAACATATAGTAGAGCATAGCGGTGGGTTAGGGATATATCAGTGATATACATACATTTATATATATATATATATATATATACTGTATATATCAGTGTGTGTGTGTGAATGCAAATATATCATCGCAAAAAGGATCAAAATCAAAATCAAAATGACTGAGTTACTGGGAAATAGCCCTTGTGACAACTTGCCCCAGTCTCCACTATACATAAAGCCTTCAATTTAACTTAACCATACAATGTATGATCATATACAAAGGAAATGTAAAAAAAAAAAAAACCTGTTTAGAATTTGTAAACTGAACAGCTGAAAGTGTAATAGGTGAAAGCAGGCATGAGAAATTTGTGTGAATTCCAAAGCAGGAAAAATGTGTGTGCATACGGAGCGGGAATAATGTGCAAATAGAGTGTCGGTCTTTACCTCTTTGAATTCGGGCAGCAGAGCAGGTCTGAGCTGATCTCTGAGAGAACAGAGCTGTCTCTTCTCATCATCCTGCTGATGTTTGATCTACATAAACACACACACACACACACACTTAAATTCCTCCAGACACTTCCTACAAGTCCTCTCCTCCATGTACATTCCTCCAGCCGTGTTTTTCTAAGCGTGATTACTTAGACTTTGAGTAAGACAATGGCCCTTTCATTAAGCTGTCTGTCACTCACAACATCACTGCAGCTGAAAAAAGCCGTCTGCTTTATCAGCCATAAATTTACTGTTACCAACTGCTTACAGTGCTGAGTCAGTGTGAGGTATAGCGGTGAAGGCTGGTAACCTTGATGCGCTGTGATCAAAGCAAACAAAAGCCGCTCTGTTGTGGTTCTTCGTGGTCAAGAATGAAAATCTGGGATGTAAAACAATCAACATTTTTACCATCAAGAAAATGTTGGAAGCGCTTCCCAGTTCTGAGTAGGTTGCTATGCAGTTGCTAGATGGTTCTGTGTTAATTTAGTATTATTTATATACTATTATAGTATTTATTTCTATTTTTAATGAGCTTTTACTTTTATATTTCCAGTTATCATTATAATTTTAGTTGAGTTAATTTGATATTTTAGCTCTTTTTGTGCTTTTGTAATTTGTATTTATTTATTTAGATGTAATTTTTTATTTTAGTTATAGTTTAGTTTTAGTTTTAAGTTTTTCATCTAATATTTATTTTTTTATTTCAGATTTATTTCAATTAACACACATGTTTTAATAGTTTCAGTTAATGAAAATAATCCTGGTTGCTAGGTACTTTAAGAGGAATTTTGGATGCTTATCAGCTGGCCGAGCTAGGAAATCAGCAGGTTAACCAGCTAAACCAGACCAAGAGTCCAACTAGACCAACTTAATCCACATTAGGATGTTTTTAAAGAAGGGTTTTTCAGCAGGATTACATTTTATATCTAAGATGTGAGTCGCTTGGCCACCTTGGTTACATCAGTGTGGATGTGCACGTATTGAGATGTTCGACTTAACTATTTTTAGCCTTCAAACTATTGATCTGGGCTGACTATACAAAGCACGTACAAGGAGATGAAGAAATATCGAGAATGCATTGTGTTAGTTTGGGGGATGATGGGATGCCATAAAGACGCAGAACAATTGCCCAAAAGTAATTTGCTGCTCAGCATGAGCAATCTACTCACTGAGATATATTTGGCTGAGAATGAACAAAGAATGTGATGGATCCTCTGTACTTTTCAATTTAAAAAATAAAGACCTCGCTTATAAGATGGTATAGCCTATATGAAGAAATATTAATACACTGGGGATCTATATGATGGACTGAGTGATTGGGGCCAATGTCACGCTCATCCTGAGCTTCATTGCTACAAAGTGAGATGTGTTCTGAATACTGATTAGCCGCTCCACCACATGACCATGCCTCCCATAAACACACACACACACACACACACAGGGCTGATCCTGTTCGTCGGAATGGATTTTGAGTATACAGGGCCTAATCTATCAAATCGCTCGGCAGATGATGTACAGGTTATCTGTCTGAATTATTTCAAGTCAGTTTGGATTTCAATGCCTTTTTATGCATTCTGACCTTTCCTTGAGTAAGCCATTACTCGCTAAATGGCAAGCTCTCTGAATTTACAATTGAAATGTCAGTTTAGTATAATTATGCTAAATTTAAAAGCTAAAGGTCTGTCAAGTGATAAAAATATTTGGACAATTCTTCCCTATTTCAAACTAGAGTTATAATCACATTGTACTGTAAGATACAAGCTAAGGAGAGCTAAAAGGATAGAACAGGGTGGGTAATAATAATAATAACAATAATATACTGTAATTTAAATTATTATAATTGGGATTAGTAATAGTAATAGCAATATTCAATAATAATAATAATAAGCCTTATAGAAGAAAAACAATAGAACAACAATAGTAATTTATGACAATATATGTTTAGATATTTTATGTTAAATTATATTAAATTTATATTATATATTTCAATATATTTTATATTATGACAATGTTTTATTTTATATAATTATATATATACTATTGTTTTATATTGTATATTTTATATATACTATTATTATTATTAACAAGAATAACAACACAATAATTATTTATATGCCGACATTTTATTGTTATCATTATATTATTATTATTGTTGTTGTTGTTGTTACTATTATTAGTATTTTCTTTTTCCCTTTCATGCAGCATTACAATGCAGTTTGGTTAAACCTGTTACCATCTATTTGAGGTTTGGGTATTTTGTGTATGAAGCCTTTGGCAACACAAAAACAAGAATGAAAGCAAGGAAAAATACACCTTAGAGGGCTGTTCATCCTTATTTCTTGCACTTGCGTAAGTGTGTTTGTGGCTGATTATAATTGTAAAGTGGGATTTGTGCCACAGCATGTCATCTGCCCTATACATTAAGAACATATCTGTGCAAGCAGCAAACATGGGCAGGATCACTCACAGCACTCAACTGGCCCGTCAGGACATCAATGTACTGCTTGAGTTTTTCCGTTGCCGCCAAACACTCCTGAAAGAAACTGACAGGAGAGAGCCATTTTAATTACAAATCCCATAACAAAATGGCATTGTTAGTCAAGGCAGCATCTCTATTCCTCTTTCGCGCTTCTTTCAATGGTTTCACACCCTCTCAAATTCCAGTCTATCAGAGTATCAGACTCGAGCATGGAGGGATGCAACTATAAAGAAAAGCAATCAGTCAAACCACACACACATTTAACACTGATGGTGATGTGCTGCCCAGCCCACATGGATGACTTTGTTCATTTTGCCATGGTACGGTTCATGCCATTGGACAGATCTATTGTGGGAGACTGAATATCTTGCTTTACGGTGACTTCTCGTACGAAGGATTGTTATATATCCATAGAAATGCACAATAAAGTTACAAAACCTTTAAAAAAAATCACAGTTTTATCACAGACTTACTTGCATTGAGAGTGGTAGTGTTTGATGAGGTTCTGTAGCAGGTCTACTCCTTTCTTGGTCTTAATTTCATTTACTTTAATAAGGTACTGTATATGAGGAGAACAAATGAGATTTAAAGAAATGATTACTTCTATTCAGCAAGGACACATTACATCGATAAAGACTTTTACATTGTTATAAAAAAATTCTATTTCAAATAAATGCTTTTTTACTTTCTATTCATCAAAGAATCCTGAAAAAACTGCATCACGGTTTCAACAAAAATATTAAGCAGCACAACTGCTTAATATTGATGATAGTAAGAAATGTTTCTTGAGCACCAAATCAGCATATCAGAATGATTTCTGAAGGATCATGTGACACTGAAGACTTGAATAATGGCTGTTGAAAATTCAGCTTTGAATCACAGGAATAAATTACATTTTAATATATTCAAACAGAAAACAGTTATTTAAATATTTGTAATAATATTTTACAATTGTACAGATTTTAGTGTATTTTTGATCAAATAAACGCAGCCTTGGTGACCATAAGAGAGCTCTTTCGTAACAATAAAAATTCTTACGGACCCTAAACCTTTAATAGTATAGTGTTAGGTCGTGCAGGTATACAGTCAGTGACTGTTTAGAGTCTTTCATATTCAATTTATTATTCATTTTAATGTTACACAATATACAGTAAATGGGACCATCATATTCACCCATGCTAGGCATCAAAAAGATTAAAAACTCCTAGTTTAAAGTAATAGTGTCCTAGGAAAAGTTTTTACCATTAATATTTACAGATGACAATACAGATTAGCTGATTACAGCATTAATCTAACAACATCTGTCATGTTCCTCTACAGCAGCTTACACAAACATGAGCGGATCTTACTTCACACATCTGTAGCTGGAACATCCTGCGCTCTTTCTCCATCTCTTCTGCAATCTCTCCTCCGCTCACCTCTGTGCGCACCATACCGTACTGCTTCGCCAGTTCCCTCTTCTCTTTTTCAATTTTAGTGCTGAAGGGGACAGAAATCACATGACAATGTGGTCAGGTCTACTGTATAGTTTAGTACTACATAATACACAAACAGATGGTACGTATTTGATTCGTGGAAACACAATACAAAAGTATTGTAAGAGAAGTGAAGCGAGGCACTTACAAGAATTACAATTAAATGAAGAACAGAAATTAGAAGGAGCAAAATAACGATACAGGAAGTACTGAAAGGATTTCTGGTAACAATCAAGGATTAGCAAGTTAGAAGATCATGGACTTTCAACTTTGCTGCGTTAAATCTACAAAACAGAAAGTATGACTTATATTTATATTAGGGCTGTCAAAAATTAAAAGTATTTAAAAATTGTTGCGTAATAATAGATTAAAATGACAACAAATTCTGATTAATCTCATTATTTGTTAAATATATTTGTCTGGATGAAACATGTATCAGAATGTATGTGCTACTTCTCAGTTTCCACCTACAGTTTTTGTTTTAAAAAAAGGGTATTTCATAATATTAATAATATTTTCACATGATATCCGTTGTAATACATGCCAAAAGGACCACATTTCTGGTTTGGTGTTCATGAAGGAGCTCTTGAGTCCTACTGATACGTACACAAGAATAAAACTACACTAAGCAACCTAAACAACCACGGCTTGTAAAAAAAATGTGTGAATAAATATGAGGAAGAGAACAAGTGAGAGTGATGGTGATGCTACAGAGAATATGTAACATATGAGGCACAAAGTATATGAATCCTACAGTTTCTAAAATGGGTTGTTATTTGACACACACACACACACACACACACAGACACAGACACACACACACACACACAGTTTTCTTGTTCTCTTGCTCATTTCGAAGATTTTGCAATATCTCTTTTCTAATAAATCTAAATAAACCATTGCGCAGTTGGTGTCAAATAAGACAAAACAGCCTAGTTTGAAAACAGTGTTCTAAAAAGCACTCACAATTTATTCTCATAATCTCTCCACGCCTTGTCAAAAGGCTTTTTCAGGTCCTGACAAGATGAAAACAAGGAGTTAGAACAGAGACAGACTTACATCATCTTATGGTAAAAGACAAGAGCATCAAGACAGATAGAGAAGAATTATTATATATACTATCTTATCATAGGCCTCATTACCATCTGCTCACATTAAACACTGTGCTTATGGTAATGATCTATGTAATCGATTTCTACTTGCACAGGCAGGGAACACATATGCCTTGTTGCCTTCTGGGAAAATATCCTGCACACTTCATCTATATTAGCATCATACAGTAGAATTACTAACAAAGCAACAAAAATATCAAAAAGTATTTTTGGACACCATTGTCATTTCATTTTTTGGTACCTTAGAGTGCTTTGTGAATACTATGGTATAAGAAGATGGTAATTATTCACTATAATGGTATACAGTGGGGTACTATCAAAAAATGCCATGGCAAATGTAATATTTATACAAATGGTTGAAATCTGATTTAATTATCTGAACTTATAAAATTAGTTAAAGCCAGATTTATCTACATTTATCTGATGGTAACATTTACAAAGCAAACACAAGAAAAATGTCACTTCAAGTGGATCGCTTGTATTGCAGATTTCAACTTACTCCTTTGACCTCTTTCAGATCCCCTTTTACCAGTGAGTCCAGGAAGAAGTTGACATTGTGCAACATGCTCTTAAACTGATAAAAACAGAAATATTAAAATGGAAAGTATTAGCTGGCAAAACCCATTTAGACCCAGTTTATGTCAGCGTATACTTGCAAACAAGCAGATTAAACATGTTTTTACTTTAAAAATCAATTTAACAGGAATACGCATGGAAGGAATAAGGAACTGTGGACAGAGAACTGAGACAAACTTTGGCGAGTTGTTTGCAGATAAGGCCTTTCTTGTAAGTCCAAACCATGACTAATACTAAAAACACTCTATGGGATTACACAGAAGCCTAACGGAAAGCCCTCCCCGGAGCTCCATGTGTCTCACCAAGTTCTTCATTGGCGGCAGCAGTTCTTTGGAGAATTCTGCAAACTTATTAAATGCAGAGGCTACTTCCTGTTCTCCATTGTTGCAGAAATTCACAGCCAACTTCTCCATTGAATTGATGTATGACTCCAAATGTGATATGTGGTCTGGAGGGAGATCAGCAGCAAAAATTCAACACAAACCCACAAACCATGGAATATAACTAAGAAGAAAAAAGTTGATTTGGTTAAAAGCACATGAAAACAATTCATACATAGCTGGGCTGAAGGAAATGTTTTGCATGCTCTGTCAATCTCTCTAATGAATTAATGCATATTCAAAAGACTAAATGAATGCTGCTTACAGTCTAATGTGCAGGAAATTCGAAAATCAATTGGCATTGTAAAGACGTTTGTGACAAAATGTTGCAAGCAACCGACTAACTGAGAAATGAATCATGATACCTTTTCAGGTATTTTCTCACACGTGTAAACACAAATACACCCAAAAGATTCAATGTTATTCATGTTACCTTGGCCAGAGATGTGCTTTGCTTTGGCTGCTTTCTTCATTTTCTGCAAGATTGTGCGGTCAGAGTCCAAGGCCTGTTAAAGGAAAGAAAGAAAAAATAAATGTCTCATCAGCAACACTGAGGGAGGATTTCGCAGGAAGATTTTACATTTACTTTTTTAAACTGGATTAGTGAATAAGATGTATGTTTTAACAATAAAATACCACATACTTTTCCCTTTAGCTCATAAAGTAGAGCATGGCACTAGCACTGATGAGGTCATGGGTTCGATTCCCAGGGAATACCCGCACTGAAAAAATCTATACTCTACTGTTCAAAAGTCTGGGGTCAGTAAGTTTTTTTGTTTTTTAAAGAAATTAATACTTTTATTTAGCAAGAACGCATTATATTGATCAAAAGATTTCTATTTCAAATTAAAGGGGTCATATGATGCTGCTAAAAAGAACATTATTTTGTGTATTTGGTGTAATGAAATGTGTTTATGCGGTTTAAGGTTAAAAAAACACATTATTTTCCACATACTGTACATTATTGTTTCTCCTCTATGCCCCGCCTTTCTGAAACGCGTCGATTTTTACAAAGCTCATCGGTCTGAAAAACGAGGTGTGCTCTGACTGGCCAGCTATCCAGTGCGTTGTGATTGGCTGAATACCTCAAGCGTGTGATGGAAATGTTACGCCCCTTACCATACAGTGATGCCCTGTCAGGCTGGAGCGATGATTCAAAAACATTAAAACCCATTATAAACAAGGCATTTGTTGCATCCAGTGGGGACATGTACTGTCTTTTTACGCGTTGCATTGCGCCGCGTAAACATAAAACCATGTCTGCATTTATGATCAGAGAAATGACAAACAACAAGCGCTACTCTACACTGCTCAAAACTCGTGTTTGAATCATCAGTGGCAAATCCTATAAATATGAAAAACGTACGACCCCGGGCTGGACTCCACTTCGTCCACGGTGAAAGCCGATCCGGCGATCCACAGCGCGAAGTTGATGTATTTCCTCAGCAACCAGCACGGATCAGCTATAAACATGACGCAGCGGATATCGTCCTCTTTTGGAAGACCAAACAAAGTAGTTTTGCTTTCACAACGAAACACACAGCGCCTTCACGACATGTCGGCAGTGGCAACAACAATACTACAGCGAGAATAAAAGTTACGCCTTCTTTCTTTGCGTGAACATTTGGGCGGCGTTATGCAAATCTTCCCACATCGTGACGTAGACATGCGGTGGCGTGTTAGAATGAGCCGTTTTAGGTAGGCGTGGTTGACTCTTAACTTTTATAAAGAATATCTCTTTGGATTTGAGACTTTAGTCTTTGCAACTTTACAGATCTTCTTTATGCACCAAGAGCTTGTAACACTTCAAAGAGAAAGGAAAAATTTTAATCGCATCATATGACCCCTTTAATGCTTTTGAACTTTCTATTCATTAAAGAATCCCAAAAAAAATGTAAGATGATTTACACAACTGTTTTCAAATGTTCAATATAAGAAATGTTTTTGAACAGCATATCATATAGAATATTAGAATGATTTCTGAGGGATCTTGTGATAATGAAGACTGGAGTAATTGACACTAAAAATTTTGCTTTGCCAATTGCCATGACAGGAATAAATTACATTTTAAATTATATTACGATAGAAAACAGTTATTTTACTTTTTTTTTATCAATAAAATGTAGCCTTCTTTCAAAAGCATTAAAAGATCTTACCAACCCCAAACTTTTGAACAGTACCTTGAGTTCAGTGTACGTCAATTTGCATAAAAGCTTCTGCAAAATTCATAAATGTATTTTCATTACAGACCACTTCAATTTGTTTAAAACGTGTTGAAATAGCCACAAGGAAACACACATACAGGCACACAAAAAGATCTTGAAATGGCTCCTTACAGAAACACATTTCCTGTTTCAACAACAGCAATTACATGCAATTGTGAATCGATTATGAAATCATGAAAGGCCCAGAGCGTTTGCCCACTGAAACTTGACTGCTGAAATTACACCTGCTATATTTTCTATACTAAAATCTAATCTAGTGACATGAATTATGCAAAAGTTGAGTCACTATAAGGCAGCAACTGGAGCATGAAGTCTTATTGTTGTGTCACTAAATTAGCAAGCAAGGAAAAATTAATTAACAGCTTCATAGTCACTTGTTTACAGTCTGCCATCTGAGAGCATGATACATTGCTGTGTGTGGTTCAGAATAATGAACTGCGGTGAAGTCTTCAACAATTTGGCTCATTTAAGCTATTTCCACCTACCACATAGTGTAGGGCTCATGTTGTGCAATAAGAAAACATGTGTTGCATTATGGGGCCTCATAAACAAGATTCCAGGTTTTATTTCACATAGTGTCGCAACATGCCTGAGATTGACAGTCAGTGAGAGTCTAGTTTCTTCATATCTTGAATGGGAAACAGTATTTCTTGTGGATGTCTGTCCCAATTATTCCTCCCTTCATTCAGGATAAACAGTTTGTTCCTCAGGGTGTAGAATGAAGCCCTGCAGAGGGTTGTAACACTTCCCTAGCTCTTGAATGGGAAACAGTATTTCTTGTGGATGTCTGTCCCAATTATCCCTCCCTTCATTCAGGATAAACAGTTTGTTCCTCAGGGTGTAGAATGAAGCCCTGCAGAGGGTTGTAACACTTCCCTAGCCCATATCCCATCAGCATGTTTAGCACGACCCTAAATGGTGCCCATCTTTTTAACCACAGGTGATTTAGCATTATCACATTTTTACAAAGAGACAAATCTCCAAAATCCTATTAGCTAAAAAAGATTTTGGGTTTAATACTTGAGGGTGTCCCCAGAATGCCTTTGGCAAAGCAATTCATTTGTTTGCTCCAGTTGAGAAAAAAGGAAAGAGGGCAGCTGCCATGTGAGGATCAAACTGAAGAGTCAATTATCTACAACAGTACATTTAATAGATAGTCTATATGCTGCACTTGTTCCAGGTCAAAAACAGCACTGTAAAATGTAAATCAACTCAAAACAGTGTTTTTACTATCACACCCATATCATATACCCATAATTCAATGCAAGGAAGCACACAAACTCAATGACAACAGGCATTAAATGCTGGAATACACTAATTTTGCCCAAATTTTGCCCCGATTTGCAGTCTGTAGAAGTTGACACTAAAGGGTTAGTTCACCTAAAAATGAAAATTCTGTCATTAATTACTTACCCTCATGTCGTTCCAAACCCGTAAGTCCTCCGTTCATCTTCGGAACACAAATTAAGATATTTTTGATGCATTCTGACAGCTCTCTGACCCTCCCATAGTCAGCAAGGGTCCTTACACGATCAACGTCCAAAAACATAGCAAGGAGATCGGTATACACTGAACGCAAACAGCGTATGTTGTTCTGTGTCAGCCGCACCACGTCAAAAATCAAAATCAAACCACATCAAATCAAAGCACAAACAATGTAGAAAATGTATGGCGCAACTGATACAGAATATCATAAACCATTTGTGTTCAGTGGATACTCTCCAAAATGGCGCTAGGGTGACGCGGAGGAGACGAATAGTTGAATAAAGTAGTTTTTTTTTTCTCTTGCACACAAAAAGTATTCTCGTAGCTTCGTAAAATTACGGTTGAACCCCTGATGTCACATGGATTATTTTACCGATCATAAAATAATCTACGAAACCTACGTTTCTGGACGTTGATCGTGTAAGGACCCTTTCTGTCTATGGGAGGGTCAGAGAGCTGTCAGAATGCATCAAAAATATCTTAATTTGTGTTCCGAAGATGAACGGAGGTCTTACGGGTTTGGAACGACATGAGGGTAAGTAATTAATGACAGAATTTTCATTTTTGGGTGAACTAACCCTTTAAGGAAGGAAGACTATTTCATTTTTTGTGTTCGTACCAAATTGAAAGTCTGGTATTGTATGATGCCCAATTTTGCTCTGTAACCATGATGCCGTAAATGATTCCTACTGTTTAAAAATCATTTCAGATTTTAAAAGACATGTGGTGTATTCTAACCTTAACATATAAATTAGGTTTTCACGTTTCAAAGAAAAATTAATTGCTATATGGTCACCTCGCTATTCTGAGTGTTTTAACACACTGCTATGCGGTTGCTAGTGTGTTCTAGGTGGATGTTAGATGGCCACATTCACACATTCACACACGTCCTGTGTTTGAGTTCTTAAAGTCACAATGAGTTGCAATCTTTTCTTCAATATTGTGATATACACCTGAGTGTAATGGATATTCGATCTATCCAGTGGTTGTTGGTTGGATTTTAAGCTGTAGGTGCCACACTCTAAAGTGGAACCCGATGAACACAAGAAGTCCTGCATACGTCACCAAGTAGAAGCTGAACCACACTTTTAAAATGACGTGTCTCCAGCTAAGAAAAATATGATCGAAAAGCATTTTGCTAATATTCCCAGTGAGTTATGAAAATATCCTTGGTTATATACAAATGTTAAGGATACATTCCATTTGATCAATTTGCAAACATTATGGGAATGCTACTTTTGAATATTCTCTAAGTGTTCTGAAATAAAAACGTTTAGAAAACGTTACATGAACATCCAATTAAAATGTTTCAGAAGAATGTTCCATGAATGATGTACAAATAACCTTTTTTGTGCTAAAGTTTGTGCTAAGAACATTATTAAAGACCTGATATCTTTGTAAGAACATTCCATTAATGTTACTGGAAGAGTGTTTGTTCATATCTTGCCAGAACATTAGCCAAAGTTCTGAGAACATTCCCTGTTTGCATGAGACGTGAATGCAACCATTAAAGATGACTGTCTAGCATGTTTTTACATAGAAAAAACAATGGTAATGTAGCGCACTGGAATGCATAAATGCGAGTCAAAAGCACAACGTTCATGTTTATTGTTACTGCATGTTAAGCGCAGGAGAGCAGTTTCATAACATGATTAAAACTCTGTAACTATTAGATTCTTTGTTCTCCTTAGCCTTCAACTTCCTTAAAAAAAAAAAATCTCAGTTTCTATGGAGACTTATTCCTGTTTCAAAGCCGAGGACCTCTGTCTGTGGCACTCTTGTCTTATCTTGCTGTT